AGAATGTTCTCTTCTAGAATTTCTCCTCTAGAAAGTACACGTAAAAAAAATTTGCAAAAATAATAAACAAGTCAAGCTCGACTTGACAATTTTATTTTCTTGCGAAAATCAATGGTAACCGAAAGAAATGACTTACGTTTTTCGAATCGCCGAATGCAGGCGCGACATGTAAATCCCGTTTTCGAATGAGAATCACTGTCGGCATCCCGGAGCCAGTGGCGCGAGTAAACCAATAACGCGTCCGCCACGCCGGGTGCCAGATTCAAATCCGGCAGGGACCGAAACGGTATTCCACGACGAAACGGATAGCGGGGGCTCCGCAGGACGTTTCGAATCCGTCTCCGCGTCCTGCGGGCTTTACTGGTTTGTCGAGCCATTGGCTCGATTCGGCAATTCTGCGCGCGTTCGACTTTCCTGCGAAAGAGGACGAATGCGATCGGTCGCCCATACAATTTCGCACACGCAAAACTGTTGCTCCCACGTAATCCATTTAATCTGGCCATCCCAATATTCATAGCTGGAAAAAACGCGCGGTATTTCTTCCAGATTGTCAAAGATTTGAAAATGATCGAATAAAATATCATCGAAAAAAACCTCAATGACTTAAAATTAATATCATATATGCATTTAAATCACAATGAAAATTAAAAAATAAAAAATGTATTTTATTATTATAGATACATAATTAAAATTACAAATAACACAAAACGTAGAAAAAAATCATTAACGTAAAGATGATACCATGAAAAGTGCTTATCATGATAAAAAATTGTATGATGTGGTGAATAGGAGATTTATTGCAAATGCGTGTTGTCTTCAACATGTAATATATAGTAAGCAAAAAAATAAAATTTTTAAAAATTTCTAACCAGAACTAATATTTTGATAAGAATGTCATGTTATATTCTGCAAAGAGCCGAATGCAAGCAGGAAGTTTGAAACACGTGAAGTGTATGTCTTCCGATTCTGCTTAACTAAATCGGACAAGACACACATATATCGAGTAAAGTTGTTAGGGGGGGGGGGGTAAAGTGAAGAAGTCCACAACAGAGCGCATTTCGTTCCGATGCGGCGTCTTTGCGAAGAAAGCGGAAGGAGGAGAAAGGAGACGCGCGAGAGGAAGAAGCTCGAGATATTCGCTCGTTCCGCAGGGTGTACGAAGCGTATCCAATTTGATGGCATTACAATAACGGGGGTAATGTCTGAGAATAATGAAATTTCCCCCAATCACCACGGCTTGCCTAGAATACGTTCCTTCGTCCCGCTCGTACCTCCTCTCATTCTCTTTCTCTTTCTCTCTCGTTCCTTCCCCCCCCCTTCTCCCTCCCTCATCGAACCGAGGTCTTCCATCGTCTACCACACGCATACGGATGGACACGTACAGGCGAACCAGAGAAAATGAGTAGAAACGTTTTCGAATCAATCCCGTTCGCGAGTTATTTCACTCCCCATCGGAGAAAAGTCGAGGGATCTTCGAGTACTTCCGTTCAAGAAATGGATTCTGGTCAAAAGTCTTCGAACGTGACGACAGTTGGGAAAATTCTATGCACTTCTGTAACATTACTACGCTACGCAGCGCGAAAGCTGGTTTCGGAGCTATTACGAGAGGATTCTTGCTAAAAATTGCTCTAATTAACTTTAAGAAAATTATTTTAGAAAGATGACACGATGACACAAATAGCATGAAAAAAATATTTGCATTGTAATATATTTAATATTTCAGAGACAAACGAACGTCGTGTATATCTTTCTCAAGATTAAAAAAATAGATGTTTTTGTAAATTATCGTAAGAGTTAAAATTGGCGATCATATTTTTCAGGCAATACGGTTCTTGAAACTTCACTCGATCTCATTTTAAAATATTTCGTTATAATGAGACGTTAACCCACTTCGAAACGACGAAAAACGACAAAGTTTCAGAAGACCTCGAACGCGTAAGCGGAATTCTCTTTGACTGCTCGTCGTTTTCGCCCGTTCGACGCCGCGTACCACCTCAACGTGGGAGCAATAATTCTCGAGCGAACTGTACGTAATGGAATATTACACGGGCCATTAAAGAAACGTTAATCTTGCCCACAACAAGTTCAGAAGCGCTCGCAGGATGTTCAAACGCGGCCGGGATTACGCGCCGGCTTTGATCCTCCAACGCCCCGGAGGCGCGCGCCGGAGTCCGCAGGCTCCCGTAATTTGTTAAAACGCGAAATTCTGTGACGTCGTTGTTTGCGTCGGCGTCTCGTTACCGCTTAAAAGTCACGCGGCTCCTTTGTCGACTTGCCGTAAAACACACTTGTTGTTTAATATTAAATTGATCGTCCTTTCCGCTTCTCCATCATCTTTCATTCAATTTTCTTTTTATCAACATGAAAAGATTACGATTCCGAAATTGATAGGATAACGTTTCAAAAATAAATTAAGACAAAAGACGTATTGTTTTAAAACATGTCTTTAATACGTAAAATCATTCCAAGACTGCAGAGTTAAATACTATATTTAACAATTTTAATGAATGGAGAATTTTAATGAATGAAGAATGTGATATAAATTTATATCAAAGAGAGAAAGTAAGAGATTTAGAAAAAAGACAATTTTCTTCTCAGAATGTAAAATTAATTTTTTCCTCTTTAAAAAAAGTTTTCACTTTTTTAGAAAAAATTTTCTAATTTTAGTTAATAAATTTTTAATTTTCTCCTTTTCTATCTAGCCTATTAATATTTTCATTATTATCTTATTTAAAATAATAATAAAAATAATTATTGATATTTAAGTTTTGGTTAGATACAATATTATGGAAAACTTTTAATGAAGTTATATTAAAAATTATCGCAAACTTTTACGAAAATTATTTCAAAGAAACCACTTTAATTTATCTTCTTTGACGTAGATACTAAAATTTTCGGGATTTAATAAAAAGGATGTGCGCCAAAAAAGCTACGGATGAACTCTCGACAGGCTTTCTTTCACATAACGGTTTTGCCATTTTTTTCTCACGTCGATAAGAATATTCTTTCGATTCGACTGTCATCTTTTCTCTCCTTCTACCACCTCTTCTCTCCGCAAAGACTTTCTTCCGTAGTCTCTCCGTGAGGGTGACTCGTGTACACCTCAACGCTATTACGAAGGCGCGAGGGAGCAAGTCAACCAGCTCTCCGAAAAGGGAAGACGAGACGAGGACGAAGGAGACGTGGCAGGAGGACGAGGAAAGGCGGCGCAGGACGACGTGGGAGGGGGAGGGTAGAATTTAGCGACCCTCTTTCGCTTTTTACCCTAAGCGAGTCGAGAGCCCCTTAGCCACCGTTTATTGGACGCATGCAAATATCCATGGCAACGGCGGTACCGTGCTGTATACGGGAAGAACCAACCCTGCCGTCGAGAACGTGCCGGTGTACACGGGGATGAGTAGGTCCTTCTTTCCAGGTCGAAGAAGAAAAAATAAAAAAAGAAAGACGTTAGGAAATTTCCTTTTGATCCGCGCGTCGCCCATCCTCGAGCAATCTCTTAATTGATTCTGCAGGAATCGATATACGTTGTGTCCTTTTTCGGTCGGGATATTTTTCGGCCGTTGTCAAACGCGCATGTTTCTGCTTAGATGCTTAGACCGGAATTTCCCGTGGGTTTACTAGTATTCAGATATTTTGATACATCTTTCCACGTATTTGGATACATTTTTCTTAACAAAGATATTCAACTATGGGTAACTCCTAAATTATAACTGATTACAGATTAACGAATTGAATTTCAGAGATGCAATTGGGAATAAGGACACTTCATCTTTCCAATCCAATTTCCCGTGAAGTTGCTTTATTCTGTTTCTCTTTACTCTTTTTTTTATCCTTCTAAAAGAAATTAGCAATTCTATGTATTCAATGCGATAAGTAGCGAAAAAAAATTTCTATTTGATCCCCATCATATTTGAAAATTATTAAAAAGAAGAAATATATATTACTGAGATAATTTGTCCATGTTAGCATGTTATAATCGATCAGAGACACGATACTTCAATGATAGACACGAGGTGTCTATCGGTTCGCGCGATTGCGAGATAGAGAAGAACACGACTCGTCATGTTGGGGGAGCCAACGAGTTGTCGGGGCGGAACCGGTTAACGCCAAATCGTCCGTCATTCGTTTGCGCGATTAACCGCCTCGTGTTAACAACATCGGTCGCGCCGCGACAAGGGGAGGAGTTTGTACATCGTCCTGGTCGCGCGCGCCCGCCCGAGTCCATCGGCTCGCATAAACATCCTCGGTACAACCAGCCGCCAACCCCACGGAAAACTGATTTCCATCCCCCTTCCTGCGTGACTCGCGCTATCTATGTAAATGCGGTCCTGTTTTGTGTGAGTAGACAAAGCCCCCGTTGACAATACGCCTGCGCGTTTACAACCTCCACCCGCCGTGCCGAAAGTCAGGCTCCATTACGGCTGTTTTGCGACGCGCTTTGTATTGTTGTCGCCACCGCCACCGTCACCGCCAGCGCCACCGCCGCCGCCGCGAAAATTTCTATTATTTAATGTCAGACTATAATCGATTAACATGCGCTTTAACTGCGCGAATTAACGAAGGTTTGATGTTCAGTGAACTTTCTTCGTTCCATCCTCATTCACCGTTTTAGATACTCATGTCACTATACATCGATAAAAAGACACGTGTTTTTTTATATCAGAAAGGAATTTTAAGCAAAACTACTATAGCTCTTTTTCAGCATATTAACATAAAAACAGCATATTAACATAACATAAAAAATTAGTTTTCACGTTTTGTTTATAATAAAGAAAATAGCTGTTCGTTTTCTTTTTTACAAAAAAATCAACTTATTTAGGGAGGGGTAGTCAGTCAAATATTTTCAATTATTTAATTTTATCTAAAATAATGATCAATTGACTATGATGGTGACAGTCTACGATAGTGACAGCAAAAAAGATTTATTGATATCCTTTTGTTCGGGAAATAAGAGTAAGAGAGAGAATTATATGATCGGACGGAACGGAGGCCGCACTTACACTTGGGATGTTGTCGTTCGTGCATACGCCCTCCTGCAACAAGCGATCTCGGATCTCCCACGCGAAGATGGACGGGCACTCACTTTTGTAGAGCGAGATCTTACTGACTACCTCCGCCGTTGCCACGCGCGATTTACTGCCGCCGATGGCTCTGGGCCTTATAGATCCGGTCTCATAGTACCTACAACAATAATAATTTGCGGTACAATACGGTAGGAATATGTGAAAACGCTCATCATTGAGCATAAAACGTATTATACACCTCTCCTTTTAACCGTAGCCATCATTTTATGGACTAAATGAAAATAGAGCTGTACAATAGAATAGAGCTCTCTGTTATTATCGAGCAATATATCTTGATTGCCTCTTATGACTGAACAAATACTGAATATAGTATCAAATATATATCGAGAAAAAAAACTGTTGATTTAAAGAAATATCCTTTGACGTACGACAATTGCGGACTGTCAAGCAAATATTTGTTATTCACAAAAATATTCACAAAAATATTTTCTTAATATTATGCACATCTAATTTAAATGTATAAGTATGAATTTAAAAAATCACTACGATTAAACACATTCATTAATCAAGTTAACAACTTTTTTCTCAGTATAATATGTTTGATTGACACATTTGTATTTTTCTTTTAAATTAGTATTAGATCAGGCTTCGTTGTAATGTTGCGTAATACTCTTTTAATTCTCAGATTTTACAAAAGCTATGTTTATTTCGATCTATACGAAATAGAGAGATATGCATATTGCATAAAATTACACAATTTGAGGTAAATTTTTTTTAATCGATGGAGTACGATGTAATAGTTTCATCCGCTTAGAGAATGTACGGTGGTATCTGATTGACGGAGGAACGTCATTGGACGAAGGACGAAGCAAGCAATATTGCAACCAACCTGCCCAGGATCTTGGAGACACAGCCGTTGCTGACCTGCAATATTCTGGAGATGTCGCATGGCCGTGCGCCCGAATGCGCGAGCTCGACGATCTTTTGCCGCGTCGAGTCCGGAAGCGGCCGACCGCCGACGAAGACACCTCCCAGCTGGTTCACCCCGCTGTGCCCTGCGAAACGACGAGGGTTATATGATTATTTTTCAATTAATCGGCTACACTTTCAATGATTAGGTAACAACAAATTGCGGGATAACAGCAACAAGTTACGGTAACACAAACTATTTTTTTTTATC